AATATGTGAATAAAAATAAAACAATAAAACACAACATTCATTCAACATTCGGGTGGGGCGGATGAAAATCTTTATCCCCAGGCCTGACGGGATAGCCAGATCTTAAGGGCTGTGCGGAAGGTCTGGATGGTGGTGAGGGTGCGAATCTCCACGGGGAGACACGGACGTTGTCAGAATTGGAGAGAAGGGTTATGGTTCGCCCAAGGGGTTATTATTCCTCTTTGGGGGGGGATTTTGCTGGGATGGGGTGAGGGGAAGGGGGGGGGGAATGCTACACGAGAGGCAGAATGATGGGTAACTGTGGGGTTATGGCAAGGGGTGTGGAGGGTGGGGTGTGTCTCCTCACATTTCTAACCATGGATTTGGGGGGAAGAGCAGGGAAGAAGCTTCCTTTCTAGAGGTCAGTGTTTCTCAGCCTTGGCAAATTTAAGATGGGAATCACCGAACTGGCTTTTCCTGCCTGAGGCGGAACTAGAACTCCCAGTCTCCTGGTGATTGGCCCAAACTCACCCAGTCAGCTTTCCTGACTGAGGTGGGACTAGAACTCACCATCTCCTGGTGATTGGCCAAGATCACTTGGTCACCTTTTATGCATAAGGCAGAACTAGAACTCACCATCTCCTGGTGATTGGTCCAAGATCACCTGGTCAGCTTTGATGCCTGAGGCGGGACTAGAACTCACCGTCTCCTGGTTTCTAGCCCGATACCTTAACTGCTAGACTGCTAAATCTTGCCTTTCGTAGCACATTCCCTCCCTTCCTGCTCTGAAGGGTTGATTGGCAGGCAGTCATATAGAAGGACGCCCCCCCCCTCCCCCGGTCCTTGCACTCCCCAAAATAAATTGGGTAAAAAAATTGGCTGTAACCAAGGCTTTCTTTTTCAAAGCACGTTGTGACCTATGACTCTCTTCTCCATATTGCAAAGTTGGAGCCCAGGAAGACAAAGGGGAGTTTTCTCCCTTATTATTATAATTTACTGCTTCATTAGCAGCCACCAATGGGGTGAGGTGACAGCTTCTCTGCCCTCCACCTAATTAATGCAGCCGGGTGCAGGGAAACGCGATGCCTCCTGCCCCACGCTTTAGAAAAAGCCTTTGTGAATCATGGAAGAAAGCAGGGCAGGATGATCTCGCTGTCTTATAGAAAAAAGCTTTTTAAGTTTGGAAGGCAAAACCTGCTTTCAACCTGCTGCAGCTACCTTGGAGAACTCCAGTGAAGGCAAAGCAGAACTACGAGGGATCCTTGACTTAGGAAATGGGAAAAATATTTGCCAATGGACAAGATGGACAATGGGATGGAGTGGAGTGGAGTGGAATAGAGTAGAAGAGAAGAGAAGAGAAATCAGAAGAGAATATGGAGGAGAATTCAGAAGAGAAGAGAAAATATGGAAGAGAAGAGAAATCAGAAAAGAATTCTGAAGAGAAGAAAAATATGGAAGAGAAGAGAAATCAGAAAAGAATTCAGAAGAGAAGAGAAAATATGGAAGAGAAGAGAAATCAGAAAAGAATTCTGAAGAGAAGAAAAAATATGGAAGAGAAGAGAAATCAGAAAGAATTCAGAAGAGAAGAGAAAATATGGAAGAGAAGAGAAATCAGAAAAGAATTCAGAAGAAAAAAGAAAATATGGAAGAGAAGAGAAATCAGAAAA